CTCTCTCTCTCTCTCTCTCTCTCTCTCTCTCTCTCTCTCTCTCTCTCTCTCTCTCTCCTTTCCCTCTGCTCTTTCTCAGCCCGGTCGGTTGATCCATTCGCTCGGAAGCGCATCACTAACCGACAAATGCGCAGCAGACGGACAGATTGGGATTTATGGCAACGTCCCTACAACAGAGATGACCGCCAAGACTCGGCAAAGTATCGATGGTCACTGACCAGCGTTGGAGACTGTGCCCCGATCCTCCGTGACGAATACTGGTCGGAAAGATCTCGGATTTCCGTTGTGTGTGTGAAAGACATTTTACGGGACCACTGTTGCCATAATGAGCGTTATTTTTCGAAAACGGCATCGATCTTTCCGTTACTGACTATGCTGTCGTCTACAATTCTTTGAAATAAGACAAATAACATGGAAATAAATTATTATGCGATATGCGGATAAGAATGTCGACATACTTGGAGGTGACCGGTGCCATGCTACAGACGACACCGTCGAACGACGCGGTGATTATTTTTAGGCCAATGCAACGGCCAAGCGACGCGTCATATCGGCCGGGAGTTCGTGGACCGAGCAAAGGAGCGTTCGATCGGGAGGAGCGGCCGCCGCCGCCGCAGCCGCCGCTACCGCTACCGCCGGTGGAACGGGGCCACGTGGTCGCTCCGGTGACCCACAAAATGATTTATGTCTGTAGATCCGACTGTAGAAAGCTCGCTGGAATTATTTCTTCGGAGCAGGCGCGCGCCAGTAATTCGCGATAACGACCCGGGATCGAAATAGCGCGCGCGAGCGCATGCGGGGGAGCAGATCGCAATCGAATTCAGCATCGACCGGCTCTGCTTCGTTTCTTCGAGATAAAAAGGTATATGTTTGTCAGGCTCGGTCAACTGGAATGTTGTGATCGATTAGTGAGTCGCGAATCTCGCCTTCTTTCTCGGTGTTTCCGATCGATCGCTTCCTTGTCGTCCCAATCGAGGTGAATTATAACCGGTCGATCTTGTCGAGGTCTGATTGTCAGTACAAAATACATGCGTCGCGTTCTGCACGAGTGTGTGTGTGTGTGTGTGTGTGTGTGTGTGAGTGTGTGTATGAGTACGCGTGTCAACAATTCGCCAAGAGCGCGCGCGGAGATGAGTTATACATCGAGGTCGTAGCTCTCTCGCTCTCGAGAGGCTGACTTCTATTTCGAGTGGCGGGTCGTCGTCGTCATCATCGTCGTCGTCGTCGTCGTTGTCGTCGTCGTCATCGTCGTCGTCGTTGTCGTCATCGTCATCGTCGTCGTCGTCGTCGTTATCGTCGTCGT